TAATAGTTTTGCCAAATTACATAATTATTAAAAAAAAATAAATACAATTCAATGTAATAAGATATATATATATATATATATATATATATATATATATATATATATATAATAGGGTATATATATCGTATGTAGTAAATGCTATATGTGTTTGTGTATATATATATATATATATATATATATATATACATATGTAGTAAGTGTTATATACATATGTATTATATGGTGTGAATGTTATATACATACATATCATATGGAGTAAATGTTTATATATATATCATATGGAGTAAATGTTTTATATAATATATATATATATATATATATATATATATATATATATGGATAAATGTTATATATATATATATATATATATATATATCATATGGATATAAATATTTATATATATATATATATATATATATATATATATATATATATATATATATATATATATATATATATATATATATATATATATAAATGTTTATATATATATATATATATATATATATATATGGAGTAAATATATATTTATATATATATATATATATATATATATATCATATGGAGTAAATATTTATATATATATATATATATATATATGGATAAATGTTTATATATATATATATATATATATATCATATGGAGTAAAAATGTTTATATATATATATATATATATATATATAGTAAATATATATATATATATATATATATATATATATATATATATATATATATATATATATATATATATATATATATATATCATATGGAGTAAATGTTTATATATATATATATATATATATCATATGGAGTAAATATTTATATATATATATATATATATATCATATGTTTAAATATATATATATATATATATATATATATCATATGGAGTAAATGTTTATATATATATATATATATATATATATATATATGGAGTAAATATATATATATATATATATATATATATATATATATATATATATGGAGTAAATGTTTATATATATATATATATATATATATATATATCATATAGTAAATGTATATATATATATATATATATATATATATATCATATGGAGTAAATGTTTATATATATATATATATATATATATATATGGATAAATGTTTATATATATATATATATATATATATATATATGGAGTAAATGTTTATATATATATATATATATATATATATCATATGGAGTAAATGTTTATATATATATATAATATATATATATATATATATATATATATATATATATATATATAAACATTTTATGTTTAACGTTAGTTTTTTATAATACAAGTATTTAAGTTTGCTCTGTTTTAATGAGAAAATATTAGAAAATATTCGTCCTTTGACAGGATGAAAATTTCTATGAAAATTTCGACATTCAGGCCGGTAAATGTTATTTAATACTGTTTATTATAAACAGAGCATTTACTTAAATACTTGTATCTATAAAAAAGAACGTTAGACATAAAAATGTATTTAATAAATAAATTGTCGGACTTTGTCCATTTCTTAATATATATATATATATATCTCCGATGTAATAAATATTATATATTTCTGCTATATAGTTAATGTGATAAATTTTATATTGGTGAAACACAATGAACTTAATTAAAAAATCTATGAACACAAATGTTTATCAAAATCGGGGATACTTTAAATTCTTTATTCTCCTAAAAACAAAATATAAATGATCCTTTCGATTTAAAAAATGCTACAATGATTTAAATTATTCACAAAAGATCACCTTCAAAAATTCCTGAATTACTCAATCAGCTATATTACTATTCAATTTTATTAATAAAATAATAAGTTTGATAACTTATTGCCTTTTCTCGCTAAGATAATGCTTACAGACAATAATATTAAAATAGATACTAGTTAAGTATGTTTAGTTCTATAATTCTTTAACACCTTATTTAGGGGTTAAAGAAATTATAAAACTAAACATATGTATTTCATAAGTGTTCCTTTTTTTCTTCAGACATATGCACACTATCTCATAAATTATCTTTATTTTGTTTTTTTAGATCAAATTATATTTACATTTTAATATATTTCCTACACATAATTGTATGAATTGTGTAGTCTCCTATTTGTTTCGTTTCACTACTTTAGATCAATTTTAACTCGGTTTCAATAAGTAATAAGCTAACTAAAGGCCCGTCCAGATGATATAACAGTTTCGTTACTATAAAACCACTCTTTCAGGATAATCAGAAAATCTATTATGCAGTCATCATTGCTTGTTGAAACTCGTTGACTCAGTCGTAATTTGACAAGGATCAGTAAACCGTGAAGAAATAAAATATACAATATGCAAGGTGCGTAATGCATTAAAAAAGAGACGTTTTAAATAATAAAACTTGATACAAAAATGACTTTTCCTTTATTTGAATTCATGCTAAAATATGTATTCCTTTGTGCCAAATGCAAATGTCATCCTGGCGTAGCCATAATGGTGGCAATATTTCAGTTTATAAAATAAAGAACGAAACCGGATTCATTGGATCTAAATAACCGTGCCGTACCAAATAAACCAAATGATAGGCGGGGATTTGGAGAAACTTATTTAATCGTGTCACTGATTGTATTTTGAGAACAAGCATACAAAGAATAGAAAAAAAAAAAAAACATTTCAGAGTAAAAACTGATATTTCTTTGCGTAGAGTAATAGCCATTGATGAATATATAATTTCTAATAAGAAAAATGAATTTATTATATGTTGTAACCTAGGGAAGACTACTAAACAGAATAATCACACGAAGGTCGGTAATGAACGAAAATAATTAGGACACGAATAATACATATAAGATTCGCCCGCGGCGCGTAGAAGAAGTAGTCAACTGCTAGTAGTGAGTCAACTAAATTCCACAATGAATCTCCAACTGCATGATATCTACCAAGCGCCCCACAAGGTCAGATGTGGCACAAGGCCGAATTTAATGTGGGGTATCCGAGCCCGTAGCCTCGGCCAAAAATCCCTCGTATAAAACGGGGTCGGGTAGCTGTTTTCCGAGACGAGATTCAGCCTCGTCTGGGTACCGTCTCTCCGGAGGCGGAGAGTTTGGCCAGCACCACTGGAGAAGATTCTGAAACTGAAGACCAACATACAGTATTTACTACTGTATTTATGTGAATGGGGACATACCCAGTATCGTCCGTAGGTAAGCTACAACATTATAATATTCTTTGATTTCGGTACCTGAAAGCAGCTCATACGTTACGTCCAGAATATCGAACTCCTCTATATTAGGTTGGTGCAAAAATAATGACGTCATAATGTCGTTTTTGACGTTAAAAATACGTCAAAAAACGACATTATTACGTCATTATTTTTGCACCAACCTAATAGATATAATTGAGGAGGGAGAGATGGATGTAGGTAAGTCAGTAAATCTGTAGACTAAAGATACAGAAAGCATTTATTATACTTAGTAAATATTTATTATTCAATATAGTCTTTATTTGCAATGCAATTTCTATGATGATTATCAGACACTTCGATCTAAAATTATATCGTAAAAAAATTCAGATCAAAATTTAGCTGTTTACTGTTCATCGGGCTACAAACGTTTTGATCTCTCTTATACAGGGTGAGACAGAAACTCCGCTCACAATGCTATGACGTTAGCGGTAATAGTGTCATCTTATAGCTAATGTCTTATTATATGCGAGGTATTTCTGCCGCACCCAGTACATATATCAAAAAAAGAGAGAAACCGGAAACGTTTTTGGTTATAATGTGGATTTGTTTTAGAACAAATCAACATTATAACCAAGAACGTTTGCGCTTTCTCTTTTTTTAAAATATACATTTTTCTATCGTTGGAAGAATTATAACCTTTTCCCTATATATATATATATATATATATATATATATATATATAGGGATTTGACATGCAAATATATATCTCAGACCGGTTGTGGGTAATCAAATATCAAAATGAAAAATAAGTAACGTGTTTCATCCATAGGATAGACTTCTTCAGATTAATTATGGTTACCGATAGAATCAGTCTTTCATATAGTGTATAATATCCTCCTCGTTCACCGTACGTCAGTACTTTACATATTTTTTTTGTGGGTGTGGGTTACGTTAAAGTAACACCTACACTAGAAATCCAACAAGAATCACTAAAATTAAAGTTTCCATAGAACAAGAATGCAGCAACAGTGCAGAGGAAAGTGTTGATTGCTGCTTGGGACTCAGTTACGTCTCAGTGTCACCAATGTTTGCATCATAACAGACATCATTTTGAAAATATGCGATGAAAACACTTTAAGAGCATGCATTTGTAATGAATACTGTCTGCATATGCATTATTTAATTTAGATATCATTGTTTCTAGTTGCTTGAATTATTTCTGTAAAATAATTAAAAAACTGTGCAAACTTTTTTTTAGACACTGTGTATATTGCAGTGAAACAGTTGCTACTGTACATCGTAAGCATAAATGATACAGAGACGTTTACCTTTAATTTGAGGTCAAAAATGGATCCATGCTTTGCTCAGGGGCATAATTGTGCAAGGAATACAAATGACTAGAACAGAAACAAGACGCTCACCGGATGACAAACTTTAAAAATTTATAGCGTGCCTGTATCTTGAAAATTTTAGAGGTAAAATTGAAACTGGCGTTTGGTGTATATATTAACCCTATATAAACGTAACTGAATAGCTAAAAATGTTATTAGTATGAAGAAACTGGTTCAGGAAAAAAAAACACGTTACTGAGGAATTTTTTTTTTTTACCATTTGATCGTTTGATTTTAAATAAGTGTTGTTCAAGATATGTATATGCATGTATAATTAATATTTTAATAATTATTAAAAAAAATAATGAAAAAGACAATTGTATTTTAATTTATAAATTTTTCTTTTGTTTTGATTAAAGTGCTGGATATTCAAAGAGCATACGAAAACACTGAAATGGATAAAACATTGTGACCATGCTGAGAATGAAATTGAACCGCTTACCTTTCACATTCTCCAGAATTTTGGGACTGATGCTTTCGTCTGGGGTTGGGGATGGTGTCCGCTCGGTGCTCATTTCGCTTTCCCCACTGGACACGCTTTCCTGTGAGAGAAAAGGAATATCGTCACTTAAAACAATTTGAAATTTTGTATCCCACATTACTTTATTCCTACATGGTTTTATTTTTCAGTATTTTTTCGTCCTTTAAGATTTTCTTGCATCTTCCTATAACCAAAACATTAACTGTTTGTTTGCCTATAAACAAGCGAAGTCAATTTTGAAAACAAGCAAAATAAAACCACTAAAAAATGGCTAAACCTGAGTTTAGACTTACACGTTATATTGATGTTCGTTTTTCTATCATTTCACTCCACGCAAGGCAATAAAGCCACTAAGACGCAAGGGATTACTGAGAGGGAAAGAATACGAGAAAAATATTAATGGAAGGTATTAAAGAGACAAAAGACGATAATTGATGTTAGATTTAAAATTTTGAAGATTAAAGTTGACTGGAATGCTAGAGTTCCACAAACAAGAAGTGCGAGAGAAATGGTTAGCATTAGACTTATGGTTATGTTTAACAATTTTACCTTCAAAATGAAGTGACCTATCTGCCAATCTAGCACTGCGTTTAGATTCCTAAAATCTAGGTAACATAAAGCAAAGCTCATCAGAATAATTAACATGGAAGTATTTATAGTAAAGGCCCAGGGAAGCTACGTTACGGCGGAGGAAAAGTGACTGAAGTCGAGATGCCAGGTCAGGACCAATGATATTGCAGATTATTCTTTGGATTTTATCAAGAATCTCTGAATACATATCAGAAGCTCCAGACCAGACATTCAATGCACGGACTTAGAAATGTGTTTGACAGATTCTGTACATACTTAGGAATACCCTCACTCGGAAATCATTTGAACGGACTGGTTTATTCAAACTGAAGCTATTTCTAAGTGGGTCCGGCCTATAAGGCTGTGCGATGCTTTTCTTAAAACCTGTAACCATATCGTGTAAATTTAGCTATGATGTATGTGCCTTGTATATACTTATCAAAATGAGTGTCATTATGGTTATATTTGTATCCCTACGTCATATTTTAGCATGCTGTTATCTCACACAAATTAAATTAACGCTCTAAAACATTTGAGGCTAGCTTGACCATATCTAATACAATGACTTTCTATTATAAGGAAAAAGAAAAAGAATGCAAAGAAGCAAAATGGAAGTAAATTAAAACAATAAAAGATGAAGGAAAGGAAAAAGAAATGGAGGAGGCAAACGAGAGAGACAAAAAACAAAAAGAAACAAAAATGAGAGACAAAAAAGATAAAGAAAAAAAAGACGATAAAGGAGAAAAAGACGATAAAGAAGAAAAAAACTCGGTAAAGGAGAAAAAGGGAGACGATAAAGAAGGAAAAAAAGCGTCGATAAAGAAGAAAAAAAGCGTCGATAAAGAAGAAAAAGGGAGACGATAAAGAAGAAAAAGGGAGACGATAAAGAAGAAAAAAAGCGTCGATAAAGAAGAAAAAGGGAGACGATAAAGAAAATGACAGAATTAAAATAAGAAAGACTATGAAGAAGAAATCATTGCTGTAAATTTTCCGTTAAAGCAATGTTCGAATTTAAGAGCAATAAAAATAAAAATAAAAATACAAGGATCTAACCCAGAAACAGAAAAAAATGTAACATCAATGTAAGTTTCGAGGCTAAATCGGAAGTATTGCACACTGGATAAATGGTTGTTTTGTTTTTTGTTTCTTTTTTATGAAGTGGGGGGGGTAGTTTTTTAAGCCCAGTTAAAGCAAGCAAGAGTGCTGATGATATCTGTGGAGACGCGCTCCCAAGGGAAAACCGCGAAGCATATGATGGAATCATGAAAGTGTATATAAATAAATATAGTACCTATTTATGGGGGCAGATAATCCAAGTCTTTACATTCTTTTGTCCTGCAGGTAAAGGGAAATCCACAAAAAGATACTATCAACAAGTTAGAAAATAAATCTAAACATATTGTACCAGAAAGTGTCCGGGAACCTTTGATGCGAAATAAATAAAAAGCAAGAACAAGCGGCAATTTATAGCAAAAACTGTTACCGTAGTGCCAGGACTCGGGGGAAAATTTGATACCATTTTGTCTTTCTGTGTGGAATTGTCGACGAGGACAATGGCCCATCACCTGATTGTTGATGAACTAATTAATGATATTTGTAATAGAGGCACTATCCGAAATTCTGAGGCATTTGGCCAAGAAAAAATTGTTTAACCTGTTTCACTGTAATTAGTCCTTCTATGTAGACGCAGTTAGCGTAACGGTTATCGGGGCTAAAATGGAATCGGCGAACCGAGTACTTTTTCCGTCCAAATCTCTTGCGGAACGCAAGAAAATAGGACGGAACAAGAACTCGGTTCGCCGATTCGGTTAATGTCCTTGGGAAAGAGATGAATCCATTCTCCTCAGGTTAGCTATGGATTAAAAAGTACTGTAGATTAAGCTCTATAGCAGTGATTAGCATTCAGATTATGAGGACAATTCTTTAATGAAAACCTTACGGAAGACAATGGAAACCACCAAGAAGCCATAGCAATTCATACCTACGAAATATATATATATATATATATATGTATGTATATATATATATATATATTAAAAATATTGTCTTCCCCCCTCCGCCAAAAAAAAAAAAAAAAGAAAAAAAGAAAAAGAAACAAGGCACTGCTTACAATGAGTGCCGGTAAAAATCAAACAGATTTATAATAGAACCTTATATATAATTTTTTCCCCACAAAAAACGTTGCATATGACGTCACCATAAAATATTTAAAACTTCCAGGGTGTAGACAAAGGAATTAACACCACATGGCTCTCAGTAATTACCTAGATGGTGTAAAGTCCTCGAACAAAATAACAATATAGAAGGACTTTGAACCTAATACTGAATACGTTATTCGAAAATTTGAAAAATGCAATAAAATTTTAAAACAGACAGACCTTGTCAGTTATTCGTAATCAAACAATTATTGCAAAGACTGCTTGTTTAAATATCCTTTCTATCAGATTTCCATTGATTTTGTTATCGCTCTCTTGAGATTTCTCACTTCTGTTGGAGGAATTCTTTCATCAATGAACATGTATTCATTATTGTAGCTGTACTCAACATGTTTAGCCAATTGCTGGTTGACGAGACAATTTGACACACGTTTGGAGTATTTGAATTCATACTTGTCACCCAAGACTATCGGGCCTAGTCCATTCTGCTATTGATGGGGAGATGGATTCATACTTTTCCCAAGTGTATTTGCAATGAAGTAAATGGAACTAAACTTCCCTGGCTCTCCGATTCCTCAGTCCAAGCGACTATCCATTAGTAAATAAAAAAAAAAACTTAGTAAATAAACAATCAAAACTTATCTCAAATTGCAGACTACAATTAAAGAGCCTCAGGTGAAAACATACAACTGACCTCTGTGCTGAGTATGCAGCTACCTTTTAAAAGGACATGAATTGCACTTCAAAGCTGGGGTCAAATTGAAAATCATTTCTCGTGACAACTCAGAGAATTTAATGTACATAATAACATACAAAGGTTGCCACAATCATTACATTGGCCAAACCGGCCAGACACTCCGACAAAGGATGACAGATCATCGCCTACAAATTAGGGATCCCCACACCAGAAAAATACCACTTTAGCCAACATATAGAGGATTCCAATTCTACAAGTGCGACTACAAAACCAACCGAACAAAAGTGAATTAATAAACATTTTTTATAAGCAAGTTTAAACCAATACTCAGTTCATTGCATAAACCAGAGGCACGTCACTCAAAATAGATTCTATAGTATTTATCTTACCATAAGCGATATATAAAACAAGTTACGCCTCTTGTCATTTCTTTAGAGAAGTTGATTCATGCTTTTGCCATGACACATTCATTATTATTTTCAGGAATCCCGTCACTCCGAAACTATACAAATACTCATATAGCATTATCCGAAATCTATTGGAATTAATAGTGTCTTAAGCGAAATTTAGAGGTGGCGCAATGCCGAAAGAATGGAGCACCTAGTGAGGGTCGAACTCATTACACACTAATTGATATGTCGAGAAAAGCTTGCTAACCATTAGACCACATCAAATTTCTCAAAATGTCGATTTACTAAGATATATTGTAATTTATAAAACTTTCAACATAGGAATGAGCATTTATTATTCTATGTTATTAAGATTGTCTACAGATGAACACGTTTCAGCATGAGACAACTACTAAGGCACATCATACAAATTAATAACATGACGAAAAACAAATAAAGATTAATTCGATTTGATCAATCTGATATTTTTCCTCTGAAAAAGTAAAAAACTATTTTCGTATTAGTTGCGCGGTAGTTACGATTAAGGAAAACCCGATTAACGTTTATCACAATTAATAAAGGGCTGCCTCTTACTAATGACCATGCTTTCTGTCTCATTACAATTAATAGTTAGTCCTTTCTTCTTGCTTTCCAATTGTCCGTCTTTTCTTTCTTGCTTTGTGCAAGATTCTTTTCCGAATTCAACATTAATATGATATCATTCATCTAATATTGTTAAGATTATATTAGTTACTAATAATTCTTGGCAGACCTTCCAATTCTCAGAACAAGATGAATTAAATAAATCCTGTGAAATTATCTTAATCCTACTTCTGTGTGTGTGTGTGTGTGTGTGTGTGTGTGTGTGTGTGTGTGTGTATTCATTCAACTCATGTTTGCGCTTTGCTCCTAACAGACGAAATGGGTTACTTATAAAGCTTTCCTGTTATTTCAAGTAGGGTTTGGTTCGGGTCTTGTTTAAATGTTTTTATGTACAATATGAAATATAGCTTACTTTTACAGCATTTATATTATTCGTTATGATAGCATTCTGATCATAAAGATAGAATTTTTTTAGTGTCATACAAACACATTTTTATCATATAAATTATAATTTGTCAGGAGTTTGATTTCCATTCAAGGTCGTTGCGTTCACATTCAAACAAATGCCCTTGTAACCCCATCTACAGGTTAAATAACAGACAACCTAATTCTTTTCCCTTAAGGTGGTAAACTGACTAGAAGGAAAACGGAATTCAAAACGGAATTCAAAACCAATTTTAAGAGGGATAGGTTCCGTCAGATTATTTGTCTTAGACACACCACTGCTATTATGACTGCAGTGTTGTTGCTCATAGAACTCTAATGGATTACGGGACTCGAAATATGGCATGGGATTCTTACTTTTCAGCTGGTAGATCATTTAATTTCAATGATTAGTGTCCAGCCAAAAAAAACGTAATGAATGTTTACGTTGCTTTACTACATTTTAAGACATTTGGAAGAATAAAAAAATTACGGTCGATCAAAGCACAGCGAAGATGGGAACGCAAACGTTGGTCAATAATCCAGTTAAAAGATATTGCCCCAATACAAGAGGACAAAATGTACGTATCTGTTTTTCTTACCCTGTTAACAGGATCAGAATAAATAAATAAAAAACATCAAGTTTTCAAACGATGGATCACAAAAATAACTAGAGCACGACAGATCGATAATGGGGTGGCGGAGAATTCTATATTTGGGTCGAAAGAAATCAGACGATCAGTGTTTATTGTTGATCGAACGACGTTCAGATGAACGAGGGAAGAGCTAAGTAGGGAAAAACACCAGAGCAGCTAATAGGAACACGAGTTTGCCAGTGCAATTTTATTATATTTTATTTATTTGCTTTTTGTCCGTTCAGTGCTTTTACTACTGAACTATGAATGTTATTTACAGTAAGTTGGGGGACTTTGAAGATAGAGATGCCATCGACATTTTAGTTGCTCTCCGCATCTGAGTATAAATCACTTAATTTGATAAACTAAAATTGGGATGGAGAATATTTAAGATGAGAGAAGTGTTATTTTGAAATGTGGAGAAAGTCACAACCTGACTCACGTTATATTTTCTTTTTATCTCTCACATCTCTCTCTCTCTCTCATATATATATATATATATATATATATATATATATATATATATATATAGTCGACTCTCCCGTCGAATTCGACGTATGAGGGGTCAAACACATCAGTTCCCAGGAAACCGACAACAGCACATGAGATTTGATTATAGTGGTGAAGGTTTCGTGCAGGAAGTTTTGAATTCAGAGTTGTCCTTCTCCTAGACCAGTTGCCATCCAAGGCTATAGAACCCAGTTTGTCTTGCTATTTTACCCATAGCTGGAGGGAGAAGAGGATTAACACCTTTCCCAAGCACGTAAGTGAATGTAATGGATTCGACTGGAATTCGAACTTGGCTCTACGATTCCTCAATCCAAGCCGCTATCCACTCCACTGCTATATATATATATATATATATATATATATATATATATATATATATATATATATATATATATATATATATATATATATATATATATATATATATATATATATATATATATATATATATATATATATTTTTAGAATGCCATTTTATACGTTTTCTATTTCTATCAGAATATATAAAACTTAGCATAAAAATACACATACATATCTGATTTATTTTTTCGCACGTGTTTCTATACAAGAACGTCATTGGTTTATTTAGGCTTTTAAATTTGAGAACATTCATGAATATTCAAGAATTACTTTTTTTATTGTTATGGTTTGGGATGGACGTATGTGTATGTATGTAAGTCTGACAATGATTTAAATATTTTAATAATATTTTCTGTCTATACATTATTTTTATAGATACAGTTATCTAAGTAAATGCTCTGTTTATAATAAAGGAGAAATTTTGTGGAAAATATGTCTTCTCTGACGGGAATCCTACCTGTATCCTACACGGAACCGT